AGCCTGGTTTAATCCTCTTTAGGATGAATCTGTTTGTTTTCTTGGTAGTCCATGGTACATTCAATACTCCTCTCTAGCACCACAGCTCAAAGGCATCAATTCTCCTGTCCTCCCGAAAAGCAAAGGTGATAAAAATGCCCCTAGGGCATACTTACGGCATGTTGCTAGAAGAGGCTTTTCATTGGAGAGAATCATGCCTGGAAAGGTGAAGAGTTTGCGATAGAGAAGGTACTCAACCAGATGGTCTGACTGCAGCAGTGAGCTCAAGTATGGCAGATGTGGATGGCACAGGATAGGACAGGGTTTAGATGTGCTGTTCTAAGGTCACTAGGGGTCATACTGGACTTGATAGCACCAAACAACAACAAACTACTTAGAAATATTTCTCTGTGTGTGTAGCTTTGGCTTGTAATAATTATATAAAATGGAAAATCAGAGAAAGAATATTGTTTGAGCTGATTCTAGAGACCTGGTGAATATATAATTTTCATTAAAGATGGTGTCCATTTCAATAAAATTGTTGGTAGATGACTTAGAAAAGTAGATGGGAATCTGTTTTAAGGACTGATTTTAATCTAAAGATAGCTTTCAAAATGGGTTTCTTCTTCATCCACCATACATTGCTGTGATTAAACTTCAAATTAAACAAGTTATTGTAAAAAAAGAAAAAAAGGATTGATTGGTCCCTTGTGGTAACATGGCCAAAGTACATGACAAAGACTCGTCAGGTCTTGAGTCAAAGGCATATTCTGACACATTTGTCTGTTCTTTTGACAGCCCATGGAGTGTTGCTTCTTGATCATGATGTACATCCTGAAATAGTTCAGTGCTGACCAGCTCTTTTCAGTAGTGACTGTACTACTGCCACCTTTATTTTTTATACTTTCTGCATCACTTCACATTTTGCCCATGAGATCTTTGATCCTGCAACTCCAGGCGACTCTTCAGTTCTTGCCTTTTAGTCTTTGCACATGTCATTTGAGTTGTCTCTAGAACTGCCCTTTGAAATCTGCATCCTATTTTCCTTCTACTTCAGTTTATGTTCAAGTTTCAGAGTCTTTTCTAACAGTCATTTTCTTTTCTTTCCTTTTTAATGACCATGTACAAGGTCCCTGATGTCATTCCACAACTCTTCCTCACAATATCTGCCACATTCAAGTCCACTGTTGTAGTCACCATGTCAATTCATCTCATTGAATGTCTTTTCTTTCGCTGACCCTCTTACTTTTCCAAGCGAGCACTTAACTGAAAAGTGGCTAAAATTAAGGGACAAAGTCAAGAGTGGGCATGGCTGCCGTAATGGAAAGCAGTGTCAAAGCAGTAGTGAGAATAGTCTGACACCTATGGATTTATGGCACTAGCAACTTAGTAATGGTGTCCCTAGGAGACTATATGGGAACTCTCAGGGCCCTCCCCAAAATACCTAAGAGTAATGATGTCACCCTATAGAAAAAGGTGCACCTGATCCAGGCCACGGTCTTTTCATTCACCTGATTTACATGTGAGAGCAGGAAAATTAATAACATTGACAGAAGAATTGATGCCCTTAAGCTGTGATGTTAGAGAAGAATACACAATACCCCATGGACTGCAAAAAGAACACATATGTTCTTGGAATAAATGCAGCCAGTGTGCTCCTTGGAGGAAATGATGGCAAACCTTCATCTCTCATACTTCAGACATACTTTTTAATGACGGCTTTCTTCATGCATGTCCTCCCACAACTCATCCTTATAGTTTCTGCCATGCCAGGTGAGTCTGTTCCTTGGAAATGGCATCACGCTTGGAAGATGAATAAAAGATCCGCAACGAGATAGAATGATATAGTGACTGCAGCAATGGGCTCAAGTATGTCAGAGATGAAGAGAATGGCACAGAACAGGACAGGCTTCAGCTCTGTTGTTCAGATGGTCGCTATGAGTCATACCAGACTTGACAGCATCTAAGAACAACTACTAACTGACTATAACTGTGATATACACAGGTGGAAGGGTAACAGGTCAGGTGAACCGCAGTCAAACTCGAATTGCCAGAACAGTCATGGCCACTCCATCAATTCTCAGACTTCAGTCAGTTCACAGAATCACAGTGCCTTGATTGCAGAGGTGGTTGTGTCCTCTTGTCAAGATGATCTAATTAATCACTCTCCCAGCCTTCTCCAAAGGCATCTCCGCACAGCCTTTTAGGAGTGTGACTGTTTCCTAGGGAAAGGGAATAAATACTTTTCTAGAATTATTGGACACTGGCTCTGAATTAACATTAACTCCAGGAGACTCAAAATGTCACTGTAGCCCAGCAGTCAGAGTATAGGTAGACATGTTGTTATGTGCCATCGAGTCGTTTGTGACTCATAGCGACCCTATGTACAACAGCCCTAAACCCTGCTCTATGGATTCTTAGCTCAGGCCCACTTCACAGGGGGTGAATAGACATATTCAACAACTGGCAGAATCTCATTATAATACCCAACATGTAGGTAAGGGATGTAAGAAAAGCCAGGTGGGAACCCTTAGAACTGTCCCTCCCAAGAAAGACAGTAAGCCAAAGCTGTAAAAATTAGTTCCACAACCAAGACTTGAAGGATATTGGGATGCTGATTTCTACCATATCCCCACTGCCATGTCTACTTGTCTTGTGCCCCTCTGCTCCAATCATAGTCCCCTGGGAGGAAGATGGGCAGTCTCCTCCTGTGGAGTGACAGCTTAGGCAGCCCTCTGCAGGGTCAGTTACAGGACTCAATGGTAATAAGGAGAGAATGGATTCCTATAACTGCACTGTGGTCAGAAAATGTGATGAATCGTTGAAACCATTAAAATTCTGGAAAGTTGCTTATAGTCAATTGTGGTAGTTTGTTACATCAGCTTTAAACAAAATACATTGTGGTTGTTTGGTGTACATGAATTAGGCCAAATTTGTCAATCATGTTTAGATCTACTTCCTAATTTATTTGCTTTTCTTTGCTAAGAAAGGCCTATTAAAATCATTGAACGAACGATGTCTCTCCAGTTTTGCTTCATGTATTTTGAGGTTATGTCATTACTACAGAGTCGGAATCCACTCGCAGCTGACCCTCCAGCAGATTTCCAGAGGCTGTAAATGACAAGGGAGGAGATACAGCACCGAGGGAAAAACTGCAACTTGAGTCAGCCAAGCACTCCGAACTTCAGGTGGAAACTCTATGGGTATCAAAAGGATGACGACGGACAGACCATTACCCATACATGTGCTTATTTGACCAGTCTGTACTACCATAGGATCCAGTGCACTGATCCTAACAAACACATCTAAATTATCGCACAAACCACATCTCAGCAGACAGGAGCTCTGTGTTCATATCCTCCTCTAACTGTTGTTAGGTACCATCGCATCAACAACTCACAGCGAACCTGCGAACAAAAGATCTGATCTGCCCTTTCGTGTGCCATCCTCATCCTACTATACTCGAGCCCACTGTTACAGTCACTGCATCAATCCATCTTGTTGAGGGTCTTCCTCTCTTTCGCTGACCCTCCACCTTCCTCGGCATGATGTCTTTTTCGAAGGACTGGCCCTCCTGACAACGTGCCCAGAGTATGGGAAACCATGTTTCACCATCTTTGCCTACAATGAGCACTCCGGTTGCACGTCCTCCGAGACGGATTGGTCTGTTCTTTTCAGTCCAGCGCTCTCGTCCACAGATCAAAAGCATCGCTGCTTGCAGGGTTCATGCTAGTGATGCTGGGAAGCGGCCCTGGCGGCGCTTTAACCCACCAGGCTTCGCTCTTCTGAAACCCAGGGAGCAGGAAGCCCGCAAACGCCCACCTCCAGAGCACGCGCACCCGCCTGCCCGTACAAAACACCCGGAGCGGGTTCGCGGCCGTCCCGAGGGACCAGGGCCTCACACAGGGCCGCAGCCGGGACCAGAGCGCCGGGCAACATGTGCTCCGATGAGCGCCTGGCAAGTACTGAACTCCCTACTCAACTTGGCCGCGAGCCAGCGCCCACCAGAACCCAATGCACAGGTGAACGTTGATGCCGGAAGTCTCCCGCCAGGTGCGCGCAGGCGCCGGAAGTCCCGCCCCTCCCGGAAGAGCGACGACGGCGGCCCTTTTAGGCCAGAAGGCACCCGGCGGGCGGTCAGAAGTCGAGTCTTATGCCGATAAGTGAGTAGCGCTCCGCAGTTTCCGGGGTTTTGGATGGCGTGACTTTTGGGCGCCCAGGGCATGGTGCATGGTTTCTCGTGGCGGCGTGGGGAAGTCACCCTTTATGACCCCTGGTTCCCGGAGGACATGGGGGTGTGGCTTGTTCAGTACAACGTCAGCCCATTGCAGGGAAGCTACTTAACGGGAAGGGACTCCCTAAGTGACAGCCTGTGAGCCCCTCTCTGCGGGTCAGAGGGCGCCTGGGGACGAGTCCTCAGAACCCGGGGTCCGAGCGGGGCCAGATAGTGGCCAGCAAGGCGACATGCCCCCCTGCACGTGAATCTCCGGGGCCCTCCGCCTGGCTGCCTGTCCGAACCTGGGGCTTCTAGCAAAATGCTACTCGGACCCACTCACAGGGCGCCAGTTCAGGGTCGAGGCCAGGTTAGGGCCCAGTGACCCTGTTATAATCAAGGCTGCAGAGTCTCTAGGTTTTGGGGGGACAAGGGAAAGAATAATTCTAAAATTGTGTCTAAAACAAGTCTTCTTGAAGCAAACCCAAGGAATAATTTCTTGTTAAATAGGTGAAAACGTATTTATTAAAAAATATAGTAATAGGGAATGCCAGTGTTTTTTTTTTCTTTACTTACCTTTCAAGTTCCATGTTAATGTCAGTAGCTCTTTCCCAAGTGCTAATCCAAAGGCATGTGGTTTCAATGTGCCAGGCACATTAGAATGGGCAGTCTCTGCCTGTGCAGTTTACAGCCTCTGAAAAGCCACTGAAGGATCAGCTATGTGTCGGGTTCTTGAGTAGATGACAGTTGTTAATGTCAATTGTCAACTGTGTTGTCAAACATTTTGACCCCAGGAGGAATGGCAGCCCCATCGATGAAGGAGAGGCAGGCTTGCTGGGGAGCCCGAGATGAGTATTGGAAGTGTTTAGATGAGCATCCTGAGGATGCCTCTCAGTGTAAGAAGCTCCGAAGCTCCTTCGAATCCAGCTGCCCCCAACAGTGGGTAAGTAACCTAATGCTGGCTGTGATGTTCTCTGCTGAACACAGTGTGTGCTGTTCTAGGCATGCTGTCAAAATTTGAGGAGACAATCTAATCTTGTAATCTTGTTATGTGCCGTTGAGTCGCTTGCGACTCATAGCGACCCTATGTACAACAGCCCTAAACTCCGCTCTCTCCTGTGCCAATCGCACTGCCTCTGACAGTGCACAGGGAGCATCCTGATTGCCCCATCACTGAATCAATCCACCTCATAGAGGGCCTTCCTCTCCTATGCTGTCCCTCCACCCTCCCAAGCATGATGTCCCTCTCTAAGGACCGGTCTCTCCTCACAACATGTCCAAAGTATGTTAGCTGGAGCCTCAGAATCCTTGCCTCCAAGGAGCCACCCGGTTTAACCCTTTCCAGGACAAATCTGTTCGTTTTCCTAGCAGTCCCTGGTATTCTCAATACTCTTCTCCAGCACCACAGCTCAAAGGCATCAATTCTCCTTCTATCCTCCTTGGTCATTGTCCAACTCTCTGATGCATAGCAAGTGATTGCAAAGACCATGGCCTGTATCAGACGCACCTTAGTCTCCAGAGAGACATCATTGCTCTTCAGTACTTTGGAGAGGTCCCTAACAGCAGACTTTCCCATGGCAATGCGCCTTTTAATTTCCTGTCTGCTGGTGCCCAGACTGTTCACTATGGAGCCAAGCAAACTAAAGCTGTGTACAATCTCAATCTCTTCACCATCCATCCTGATACTGCCAATTGGTCCAGTGGTGAGAATCTTTGTCTTCTTGACATTGAGCCTCAATCCATATTGTAGGCTGCAGTCCTTGACACTCTGCAGCAGGTGCTTCAGGTCCTCCTCAGTTTCAGCAAGCAGGGTTGTGTCATCTGCATAAAGCAGATTGTTGATAAATCGTCCACCAATCTTGACCCATTTCTCCTCATAGAGCCCAGCCTCCCGGATAATCTGTTCTGCATATAGGTTGAAAAGGTATGGAGATAGGATGCATCCCTGGCGTACGCCCTTCCCAATTTTGAACCATGCAGTGTTCCCTTGCTCTGTTCTGACGACTGCCTGCTGGTCCAAGTATAAGTTCCGGCAGGCCGCTCAGAGGAGGGGTTAGGCATCTTGTAATCTAGAGTTGTTTTATGTACTTATATTGGTAGACATCTGGTAAATATCATCTGACAAAGAGATCACTGGGGACAAAAGCAAAAGTGAAACAATGCTTCCAACCCACAGATTTCTCTAGGATTGTGTGAAGGGACAGCACTTCAGTACTGCTGTAACAAATGCTACAAGGGTGGAGATCTAATAAACAGAGGTTTTACTCTCTTGCTATTTGTTGTACTTTACATAGCTGACTCTCCTACAGGTTATTAGAGGCATAAAAGGAAACTGTCCACTCAGAGCAGCTTGTGGATTCAGACTGTGTGCCTTCAGGATTACAGCACCGCTTATTACCACTAGAGCTCCATCGAGCCCTTAAGTGGCAAAAATCCTGCATTTTGGGTGCTGGATGTGTTAGCTCTGGGGAAGTTCCCTGTCTCTGTATTTATTCTTGGTTCCTTATCTTAAAGTAGTGCTTATCTTCTGTGCTTCCTTGACTCTGAACTGCCCTTGTACAATAGCTTTAAAACATGCCATGGCAAAGAAAGCTCTACTCCCAGACAGAATTATGTCCCAAAGGTAGAAAACAAAAACAAAAGGTTTGCTGTAGTTGATAGGTGCCCTCCAGTCAAGTGACCCTGTGAAACCTGCCCTATCCTGCAGTCACTGTGTCAATCCATCTTATTGATGGTCTTCTTGACATTGAGCCTCAATCCATATTGTAGGCTGCAGTCCTTGACACTCTGCAGCAGGTGCTTCAGGTCCTCCTCAGTTTCAGCAAGCAGGGTTGTGTCATCTGCATAAAGCAGATTGTTGATAAATCGTCCACCAATCTTGACCCATTTCCTCTCCAAGGAATAGCCCCTCCTAACAACATGCCCAAAGTACAATTTCTCTAAGACGTATTTCTTGTCTGTTATTTTGGCTGTCCATGGGATGTTCAGTACTCTTCTCCAACACAACTGAAAAGCATCATTTCTTCTCTCATCCTTTTTCACTGTCCAGCTCTCAGATGCAGAGCAGGCAATTGAAGAGACCACCTTAGTCTTTAAACTGACTTCATTTTCCCTAGTAATTTGGACATGACCTTGACTTCAGACTTACCCACAGCAACACATCTTTTGATTTCTTGAATGCTTGTGGCAAGTGTTGATTGTGGATCCAAGTTAAGACAACATAAATCATTGACAATTTCAATCTTTCTTCCATCTCTATTGATGTTGCTTATCAGGCCGGTAGATAGTGAGGATGTTGTTCCTCTTGTTGTCAATAGGGATTACAATAAAAGTTTAGGATTTAAATAAAAGTTTCGGAGACACAATTCAATCCGTAACAGGCAATACTGAAGCTTTGGTAGGGAGCTCTGGTGGCCTAGTGGATAGGGACTAGTGCTGCCTATCACTGAGGGAGAAAGATGGGCAGTCTCCTCCCATGTGATTAACTGAAAACCACAGGAGGGTCAGATATGGGTTGGATCCAACTCTGCAGTACCCAACCATCACAACAACCAAAACCTAGAAGGTCATTGTGAGTCAGTTCCAACTCAAGGCACTGAGTTGAGTTAAAGAGCTGTCCAGGAGTCTTGCTGGCTTGATGGGTAGAGCACTCAGCTGTGCACCAGGAGGTTGGCAGTTCATTCGATAGATGGTCGAATGGGGAACAGTTGCCCTGCAAACCCACAGGCAAGTGGTTCCTATCTCTCAGCTATGCCATGGGAGAAAGTCTCCTCATTCAATTATAGCCCCTGAAAACCCACTGGAGGGTCAGCTCCAACTCAGCAGTACTGAACAAGAACAGCTGGTGGCCTAGTGGTAAGGAGTTGTTCTGCAAACCCAAAAAGCACTCTGTTGGAGTCCACCAGCTGCCCTGAGGGAGGAGTACAGGCAATCTCCCTTGTGATTTACAGCATCAGAAAACCACTGGGAAGTCAGTTGGGAGCCGACTCGACAGCAGTGAGCTGGTTGTTTATCTCTGGGGGCCTTAGAGATGTGGTTGCGGGAACATGGTTCCTCAGTGAGTAAGAAGATAGCTGTCACTGTGAGGAGGCCTGTATGACACACCACAGCTGCAGTCCCTGGGAGAAACATTTGTCATCCTAGCTTTGCAAAACAGCAGGGAAAACTTTTGACGTTCTCAGTCCAAACTCATTCTCATGGGCCACTGACAAAGTTAGTCGTTCAGTCCTTTTGTTGTGCACCAGAGTTGGAACCAACCCATAGCTGACCCTCCGGCGGGTTTTACAGAGGCAGTTAATCACATAGGAGAATGCTCGTCCTTCGCCCACTCAATCCTTTTAAAGCTCTTAATAAAACAAAACTAGACTTGCTGTTCTTTTCTACTGACTGTGAACGCTGGCAGCCCGCTTTCGCCGCCTCTGCGCAAGAGCTCATGTGCAGAGGTGCCAACGGCTGTTAGGGTCGGCACTGGTGCATCTTCTTTGGTCTGCCTTTTCTGCTTTTAGTATTTTTATGATTTTACTTATTTCCCTAATCATATTCCCTATGAAAGGAGAACAGAAATAAAAATAGTAAGACAAAATGCCCAACTTGCTGCTTCTTAAAACTTTAAAAATATTATAAATTAAAGAATATTCATTTATCTAAGAGATCTATGCAGCCCATAGTTTCCCAGGTTTTCCAGGCTTAAGCCGGTGGATGTTTCTTGGTGCAGGATACAACAGGGTTCACATCTGTTGAACTTAATTGATGGCACCTAACAACCACCACCTAGTTCTTGAGAAGGTTCACAGGTTGTGTCATATTTTCAGCAGGATCTGTAAGCTAAGAAGAGGCAGCACTCATTGGTCTGTTTGCTCCTGTGGACACGCATCCACATCAAGCAGACTGAACAAAATGAGTCTGATAAAAATTAAGCTGCTTAGCCAGTCTGCATTTAGTGATGTGCTCTGCTAATCCCAGCTGCATGACTTGTTCTTATTTCAGAACATCTTGTTTTCCTCAACAGATAAAATATTTCGAAAGAAGAAGAGACTACTTAAAATTCAAAGAAAAATTTGAAGCAGGGCAATTCCAGCCTTTAGATCCACAGACTTCAAAAACAAGGGCAAATTCCTGAACTTTTCACGAGCTTGTAACTTTTCTCCATGGACATTCACAGAGCTTTACCAGCCTCGGCACAACAGTGAATATCAATACTGTGTGAATCATGAAACGATGTCAGAGCTTGCCCCCTGCGCATGACTCTAAATAGCCAAAAATGAACAAGATCCAGTCACGCAGGCCACCAGGCACTGAAATAAAATGGTGTAAAATATACTTCATTTGGTGAGAAACCTTATTTTAACAAAAATGAAAGTGTATTATAACAACACTGTTTTGTTGTTCGAAGATGGGTTGTGGGCAAATACAACAGATAAGTTGTTGTTGTTAGGTGCTATTGAATTGAATACGATTCATAGTGACCCTGTGAACAGCAGCTCTGAACCATCCTAGCCTATGGCATCCTCACACTCGAACCCTTTGCAACATATAGGCAGATGCTTTAAAAAGCTCCAAGTTATCATCTTATGTTCCTGGGAACACAAAAACTTGGAACCTAAACTATATAAGGCGCATAATAAGCACACACGCATGTGTGTAAATGTGTATATACTCCACGTTGAGGAAATGAATGCTTTTCCCTCACCTAGGTAACAAGGATGTGCCTTGTTGCTCCTATTCATCAGTGCACCTGGAGGCCCCAACCCACGCAATAATGCAACAAAGACTGGAAAACATGTAAGTGAGAAAGGAAGAAAAAAAGATCAGGGGTACTTGGGGACAATTGTTCTCTTCATAGCAAATCCCAAATAACTGATAGAAAAGCTCCTTGAACTAGTAACTCAGTTTTAGAAAGCTTGCAGGATGCAAGGACATGATACAAAACATAATTGAAAATAAAAAACAAAACCCCAACCATAAACAAAACAAAATTGTACTCCTATATTAGTAGTGAGCAACAGGAATTTGAATATTAATACCAAAGGGGGAAAAAATACTGAGATTTAAGTCTGACACTACAGAATCCAAGTGTCAAGAATATGGAGTTGTTAACTCGAGTATGACGCAGTGACCCTGTGAATAGCAGACCGAGCCAGCCTTACCATCTCTGACACACCTGGGCCCACTGCTGCAGTCATTGTGTCAATCAATCTGGTCGGGGGTCTTCCTCTCCTCTGCTGACCCTACACTTTTCCAAGCAGGATGTCACTTGCCAAGGAATAGTTTCTCCTAGCAGCAAGTCCAAAGTATGAAAGACTAAGCTTTGCCATTCTTGCCTCCAGGAGTACCTGGGTGCACATTTTCTAAGACACACGTGTTTGTTCTTTTGGCAGTCCAGGGGATGTTCAGTATTCTCCTCCAGGACCACAACTCGAAGGCATCACTTCTGTCATCCATAGTCACTGTCCAGCTCTCAAGATGCACAGCAAGTGACTGAAAAGATTATGGTTTGAATCAGGTGCACCTTAGTGTTCAAACAAAACACTTGAAATCAAAGATCTGGTTAACTGGAGTTATCGTATTCATAGAGGAGAACACTGAACATTGTTGATTTTATGAAAATCCCACCAAAATCTCAGCACGCTTTTTTGTAGATGTTGGGAAGTTGATTTGAAAATTTATACAGAAAGGTCTCCCTAGTAATTTAGAGGTTCTTGACTGCACACTTTCCCAGTGCACTAAGTCTCCTGATCTCCTGAGTGTTGGTACCAAGTGTATTGACTGTAGATCCAAGTAAGATGAAGACTTTGGCAGTTTTCAGCCTTTTCTCCATGGATCATCACATTGCCTAGCAGTCCAGTGGTGAGAACTTCTGTCTTCTGATACTGAGATGCAATCCATATGAAAGGCTGCAGTGTTGGATTTTCTGCAGCAAGTGTTTCAAGTCCTCCCTACTGCAGCAAGTAAGGCCATGTGTGTCATGTGCATAACAAAGGTTACGGTTTCTTCCTAGAAGCTAGCTTCTAGAATAATTTTTTTATGCAGATTGAATAGGTATGAAGATACAGCCCTGATGCACTCCCTTCTTAATTTTAAACCATATAGTGTTTTGTTGATCTGTTTGTACAACAGCTTCTTGGTTTAGGTACAGATTTCACATGAACACAATTAAGTGCTTTGGGATTCCCATTCTTTTTTTTTTTCTTCTATAATTATATTTTATTAATTTTCATAAACATTTACAGAGATTTTGGGTTTCCATTCATTCATTGTTGCACTATTCTCTCTACCCTCCTCCCAG